AAAGAATCAGGGTGAGTCCATAAGAATAATCGAAGAGGTGATGAGTAAATGACGAAAAGAGAATGGCGGAATGTATGGAAATACCAGATAACGAGAAATAGGATGAGACGAGGGCTCAAGAAAGAATCGAGGGTGATTGGGATTCGGAGATCGGAAATCGGGTTTGGTCTTGGCCGTGAAGGCGTGAATGAGACGGGGCGTTCATGACAAGGTAATAACCGAAATAGCAGAAGATGCTCAGAACAAACGGCGCCGCAGAAATCCCTCCAGCGCATCTGAAGGCGAGAACTATTAGGAAATACCCTCTTTTTTAAAGGACTGTTGAAAAGGTCGACAAGAGATGATTGATGGTAATAACCAAAGTATGTAGCAGAAGATGTCCAGACTCAAAACAGCGCCCACGGAAATCAATCCTCCATACCTTACGATCTGATCAATCAACCAGCGAGGCGAGATATGAATATACATAGATATTTATTTTGTATACATACGTGCTGCTTCGAGATGGAGGATCGCACATCACCATTCGAAATTGAATGCCTTCCTCCCAAGGTCGACGACAAACTCGAAAGAGATGTCGTAACGTGACAGAACTTGGAAAGGATGTCCAAGCGACGGCACTGCCGAGAACCAGCTAGCCAGATATGGATTTTTTTGTATGCCATCTGTGAACATCGGCGCTGTCAGACTCGGGCATCCGAAGGCCAATAGATTTTCCTCTACCAGTGGAGATAGTGGGAAGTTGGAAGAAAGTGCCGTTTGCGGTGCGCATATACTACATGTCCTACTTCTTCTGATTTTCTCAGCCTTTTGGGAATAGTTTCTGTCAGGTACCAGCGCTGTAGAAAGAAAAGATGGCGTGCCGTTTCTGGTGCGTGTATAACACGTCCTATCTCTTCTGATTTTCCCATCCTTTTGGGAATTACTTCTGCCAGGTACCAGCGGCGTATCAATATCAGTACATTCCGCGCGCCTCGAGATGAAGAGATCTTGAAATGCTCAAAAGACGATACAATATATTTCAAGGACCTAAAGTATTTTGCGGCCCTCCAAAGTCGTCCATTAATGCCAGACGCCACTGATCTAGTGAAGATCTTCATCGGCCGAACCGTCTGAGGCATCTCGAGAGCCTCCGAGCCATCGTCTGATCTATCACAAGAATAAAGTCTTATTTGCAGGGCGATGGAGCTATTCTGGGAATACATATGAAGGACTTGATATCTCGGGTCTTCGATGTGGATGAAGAATGGAACGATACCACACCTACCGCGGTAGGTTAGTTCTATCGGGAAAAAAGTGGATTTCTGATATGCATAATACGCCTATGCATATGCATATAGACGAGACGCGTTTTACTGGGTGGGTCAGTCTCGTTATGTTCAATGACGCAATCACATTAGTACTTATCGTGCATTTCGCTGCTGTGACACAGAACATCAAATCCATAGCTGTCAAGTCGGATGTCTTCTCGGGCGCCCTTGGGCGCAATCGTAATCGGCGCCGTGGGTTTGAATATGTGTATAGTTGGTTGAACGTTCCTGCTGCCTAGTGCACACAGCATGATGCTAGCAGTTTTCTTGAATATGTTCCTGAGTCAATCTTTCTCACCATCGTTTCATGACACAATTTGGCCCCTGTAACTCTTTTTTGCTGTAAGTAGGTGTTTGAGCCCAAACGTCGATACTCGTGTACCTATCTCGGCAACATTGTGATTGCACAGCACGGCATGTTGACTATTACCCGAGTCGATCTGGAGGCATCTCAGTCGCCTATCATGGGCACCGCCATTCAGCGCTCAGCATCTACACTAGACGCATAACAGCGACGGCTGGTGAGTACATGTGCCCAAGCCCAGCCAAGAGCTCTTGTCCGCCTCGCCTTTCTGATGCTCCCGGAGGTTTCACGCCAGAAATCGACCAGAATTGATCAACTACAACTGGCGCATAAAGATATCAAAAAGGAGTGTCATTTATTGCGTATTGGCACTAGCCAGACGTCGATATCTTCCATCTTTTTCGGTAGGACCATTTTCAGCCATATAAGTAATTATACCGGCGAAGGAGCTCGTCGGCGCTTGGAATGTTCCGGGAGTTGGAGTGTCCATCATCATGTCAGAGTTACGTCAAAGCCAGATTGTTTTGGGGTGGTAGAAACGTCATGAGAAAGATTGCAGCCGATGAACAGCCTTGAGAGAAACAATTGCTGAACGTACCTTGTTACTTGGTTGTCATAAGCGTCATACAGTTACATATTATGCATCTCAATATGCAGCAACCCCACCTGTCTCGCTCATTTCAGTAGGCTAAGTGAGTGCAACACGTTGCTAACATCTTAGTAGGCGAAAGAACACAGAAAAGGACAAACATCCCGGTCGTGGTTTTGGCGAGCAGAAAATTGAATAAAAGAATGCATCAACCGGGAGTCGAACCCGGGGCTAGACCTCACAGCACTGGTACATTCGGTGGGAAGATCCAATGTTAACCGCTACACTATTGATGCTTACAAGTAACTTACTCTATCAACCATCAACAGTAAGCTCCCCTGAGACTTTCGAGAGTCGAGACCATGTGACGTTCCAACTCCCTGCTCAAAGCCCCGTTTGCGGCTCTGTACTCCCAGCACCCTACGTGCCTTGACCTAATTATGAGGTTCTTACCTTTTTTGAGGCTCACGTTGCTAGACAACCAGTAAAATTGATCTTTGATCAGCTCTGATGGGTCAGACAGGTGCCAAAAAGTTTCAGCACAGGCTCAGGGCGATCCATCTTTCTGGAGGCTGCTGCTTCACTGCGTACAGCTTGGGCCAATATGTCGAATCTCGTTATCGATCATCTCATATGGTTCTCTGTGAAGCTTGCTTAGTAGGCGCTTGGTTCAGGAACACCCTTGTTCTAGCACATTTGCACCATGTTCAAGTCGCGGCATTGTACTGCTGCTATCAGTATCTGACTAGGGGCGGCTCCGGGTCCTCACAGCCTTGGACTCGGAGTCATCATCAAGCGTCTAATGACTTCACACTGTCTGCATATGGAACTATCAATTAAGTCCTTAAAAGGTGAGAGATTCTCACCCGGCTACAGCAGAATCTGGCCTCTCTATAAATAATAGTACGTCTGTAAACATTCTATTCGTATACCACCACTATCTCGTGATGCCGCACGTACACCTTGATACACCTACCGGACCTCTCGAGGTACACTACTCAATCGCGACACCTACCAATCCTTCTAGTGCCTCCATTGTACCGCAACTGCCATGTGTTCTGTTCCTTCACTCTGGATACTCTGGTCACGAAGCGTTTGAATGTATGGTTCCTCCTGATCCTCAATTTACAGCAACACTGAGACCGTTACAGCCCAATTCAGCGATCCGCGACTCCGATACCGATTCAATCTAATCGGCTTCGACATGCGAGGGTACGGCTTAACCAAAGGTCGCATCGTGCAAGAAGAATATTGTCCCGCTGACTCGGCGGACGATGTCTACCGATTCCTCGTGAGTAACTTAAAACTCTAGCGCATGTTTTCATCTAGCGGTTTGTCGGACATCGCGCCGATGGGCCTACTCACGCGCTGTTCTCTGTTTTTGATATAGAAAGCGCTTGACCTTCCGCCCGTGCACATATTCGGGCTATCTATAGGCTGTTGTGTGGGTCTTGATTTCGCGTCAACCCACCCAGAACTCGTCCGCTCACTGACGCTTTGTTCACCACTTCCTGCAACGGAGGTTTGTGCAAATCAACTTTCGAAGTGAAATCCACCCCTCGTACTGATAATGATGTTTCAGCTAGAAGATATTGCCGCTGGCCGCCAAGAGGTGTTTAACCTTTGGGTTCAGGCTTTTGATCACGATGGCCGCGGACCGCCTGGAGGTGACCGTGATACATTGGAAGACCTTACTCTTGGCATTCAACAGCTTTGTTTCAACAATCAACGGAGCAGTCTCAGTGATGCGTAAGTTTGACGGAATCAATACGGATAACCATGCTCATATGTCATCAGGCTATCCAAAAATTCTCTGCTCACAGCGTCTATGAATCGGGCTGGGTCACCGCAAGCAGTGAAAGATACATATCATGTAACCGTTGGATGGTTCCTCAGGCGAAAACCACAATCTCGTGAAGCGCTAGCTAAAGTTCGCAGTTGTTTCGCTTGGTCATCATTCCTGTAACTTACGAGGATCTTTCGGCAGCTTCAGTGTTCCATTCGGCTGATCCACTGTGACGACGATGTAGCGTACCCAATTCAGTACGCAGAAGAGCTGGAAAATCGCTTACGAGATGCAGGCATCGTCGACGTCGAGTTGCTCGAGGTTCCCGGGCCTCACTACGGCAGCGTTGTCAATCCACAAGCGTGAGTGTCTCAACTCCCCTGCTAAATTTGTCGGGTACTCAGTTCCTGGGCGCATCCAGAATCAACCCGATACTCCTCGAACATGTACTCTACGCGTCCAAAGATGCCGGCGGCTCCCTGACAGCCGGCCACCCAGATCACCAGGCACCCGTCGACTGCAAAAAGATGACAACTCCCTTCAGTAAGCGTCTCGCTGAATTAGGGTACAACCCCGATGAGGATGAGGACGACCTTGTCGAATGCTAGATAAAACCTTGATCATCCTCATCTTTCCTGATAAAAATTATACCTATGCCAAGGTCCCTCTTTATGTATCTCTACTTGACTGCTGTTCTGGAAGACTCGAGATCCATGCCTCTCGCCATCGTATATGTATTTTTAGTATGGTACCGAATATATATTTTGACCTAACATCGGACAAAGACAACTCCGACGCAATTACTCAGCGTTCCTTGATGAATGTGGGTCCGGAAAGTGCTGAGATGATGGCAATAGAAGGATGTAAATCATGGCAATAACGTTCTATACCTTGAGCGCCCATTGGAGGAAAGATTGTTCCGCGGTGAACGTACAGACCACGAGATCGATCTCTGATGCTGGGCGCTGAGCGGGCGATCACGTCGTGAGTTTAAGGAGTCACAGCTTTAGCAACTTTTCGTCTCTCCATTTCAGTGAGCTTATCACTTCTGTATAAGAAAATGCTAAAAAGGGAAAGGATTATAAGGCACCTCTTCGAACTTTTTGGGATTCCAATGGACCCTGACATAATCCAGGTCTTCACGGGGCATCCACCATTCTAGGAAGAGAAAGAAAAGGCAGTCAACGATCAGAATCATAGTGTATATTGGGCCCGCAAAAGGCCCCAGTTGCATGGTCCTACAAGATAGTGCCTGAGCAAGGGCGTGTTAGGAAAAAGTACAAAGACTCGTCCTACCGGTGCATGCGCTCCCACAAGTCCATCTGGGGGGATTTGATAACAGCGTCGTAGACCGTTTCCGTTCGTGCTGCAACGTCTTCCCAATTATAGAAGGTCTTTACACGTTCATGTGCCTTCTGTGGATCGTGTTTTCCTGCCGCAACGATACCGATTGCTTCAGACATGGCGCGGAATACATCTATAAACCAGACGACCAGTGAGCCCACACTACTACTACGATACTCAAGAGATATTGAAGACTAACCATCCTCTTCGGGCTCAGCGAAACTGATCATGTCTCTGGGAAGGATTTCGGGCACGCCCCCGACACGTGTAGAGACAACGTACAGGCCGGCACAGGCCGCTTCGAGAATGGCGATGCCGAAAGACTCTGTGAGAGAGGTGTTCATGAATATCGCTCCCTGTTGCAGTACCTAGTAATATTCAACATTGTGAGATGCTGCATATAGAGTGGACACAGGGACCTACAGATCGGACATCACTATGTCGAACAGGCCCAAGGAGCTCGATACGCTCTTGGAGCAAATGCTTCTCCCGCATCTGCAGGAGATCAATGAGTTTGGGGCCATCGCCACCTTTAATGTTTGTTATATTTGTGCTCTCAACGAAGGTAAAATAAGGTTTTACCGACTACAAAACGGACGTTTGGAAAAGCCGCGCATATTCTAGGCGCAGTTGCAACAAGTAGATCAATACCCTTGCGGTAAGCCAAGCGAGACAACACAACAATGGTGACTTTGCAGTCATTAATCGAAAAGGACTCGAGTAATTAGGTAGCTGACGAGCCTTACTTATTTCAGTGTGCTTTAGTGGAAACGGCTTGAAATTGTCTGCGATGAGAGCATTGGGGATGACATAGACATTTTTTCGCACGACATGTTTGGAAGCATCTTGCAAGTCTGGCTCGAAAAGTTCACCACGTAAAACTGTATTTTCGCGACTGATAAAAATAATACATCAGTCAAGAGGGATCGATTGGCACGAAATGCCCAACACCCACCCTGTGTGAGAGACACAGATAACAGCGTCAACATTCTTGAGTGTCCCAACAAGGAGCTTGTTCGTCAAGATACTTGCGGCATCATCAAAACCAAACAGACTGTGGTCCGTGAAGACAGTACGAATTCCCATTAGGTGAGAGTGTAAGATTCCTTCATGACCAAGGGAGGAAAGACTGGCATGAGCATGAATCAGATGTATGTGTTCCCTTAAGAGAATCGTTCGAAGGTATGGTAGCGAGGTGAAAAAATTTGGGAGAGTTGCTGATGACGCTATAGGAAGAAATGGAAGGTGATAGACCTTCAGTGATGGAAGCAGCCAGCGGACACCAACGCGATCTGGAGCATGACTATGTGTGATTACAATGACCTTTGAGCTGTCATTCATTCATTCTTTCGAAGCCTGGCGTGCAACGTACTTTGTGGCCTTTCTGTATTAATGTCGCACTCAACATGTAGATGTGGTTTTCTACGCCACCAACATTAGGATGAAAGAAGTCCGAAATCATTCTAAGATGTATAGTGAATCATTGAGCTCGCTGCACATCCTAGTCTTGGGCACTCACGCAATAGATATTGGATGCATCGTGAAATATTCACTGTTCAGCGCAGTAGCTATCCACCTGTTCAATGGAGAAATAGATGCACATCCATCCCCTTTGCGTCCCGGAGTGTTTGACCCAAACGTTTACAGGATGAAGTCGTCGCTGCCCGTTAGCCTTTTGCTCATCAACGGCCCTTCCGAATTTCCGCTAAACGATCATAAGTCGGCCCGCAGATCCGGGATCGAAAGCGATCGTATGGGCATTTGCTATGTTGATCTCACACAATGGCCTCAGAAATTCCAAGAAAAAACATCGTACTTCTAGGCGCTGGTAAGTCTCATTACTTGTTATAACGTTGATCAAGCTCTGGATAAGGAGCGTCTGTCAGGTGTGGTAGGTTTGACCACTGCAGTCAAGATACAAGAAACCGGCAAGTACAATGTATCGCTTTTGGCTGAGGTACTGCCCACGGACCAGAAAACAATCAAGTATACCAGTCACTGGGCCGTGAGATCTCGTTCGTTTATTTCAGTGTCTAAACGATTGTTCATGGCTGCCTGGATGAATAGGGTGCTCATCACGTCCTCAATGTAACTGAGGATGCGAGGCAGCAGAGTAAGACCAAGATTTCGAATTAGTATTGAATGCGGTACCTTATCGGTGAATAG